CGCATCCAAAATCACAGTCCACAGTGACATTTGTCCCAGAGTAAATCAAAGTCATCGTCTACTCTTGAGGCTCTCAATGAATAGAACTGGGATTTATTAATCCATTTAATTTATTTCATCTTTTTGAGCAGAAGAGTCTCATGAGAGGCTTTTCTTACTTGACAGTGGGGGAATGTAACTGTTTTACTCAACCACTGTACTCGAGTACAACTTTGGGAAAGTTCTACTTTACTTAAGTACAGGTTGTTCTATTTAAAGTACCTTTACACATCTATCAATCAATCAATGTTTATTTATATAGCCCAATATCACAAATGTTACATTTGTCTCAGTGGACTTCACAGTTTGTACAGAATATCAGTATGACAATACGACACCCTCTGTCCTTAGACCCTCTGTCCTTAGACCCTCATATCGTACAAGGAAAAACCTCCGGAGAAAACCCACAGTTTAAAGGGAAAAATGGGAGAAACCTCAGGGAGAACAACAGAGGAGGGATCCCTCTCCCTGGACGGACAGACGTGCAATAGATGCCGTGTGTAAATTGAAAAGATAATATATTTGCAACATAGGTAGTCCAAATGTTGGGAAATGCATGTGTGTATAATAGGAAGATGAATCCACGAGGATATCCATCCAGGACCTATGATCCAGGACCACAGCCACGATTCAAGATCCAGGGCTCGCGATCCAGGACAGATGACCGCAGGATCATCCATGACTCCGGATCCCGGCGTATATAGACACCAAAAAGAAAGACATGTGGGGAAGCTGGGTTAATCGGAACATGAGAGTACACAGGTATAGACAGAGAGAAGGAAGAAGTAAGATGTCCCCCGACAAACTAAGCCTATATCAGCAAAACTAGGGGCTGAATCTAATCAACCCTAACTATAAGCTTTATCAAAAAGGAAGGTCTTAAGCGTACTCTTAAAAACGGATAGGGTGTCTGCCGCCCGAACACAAACTGGAAGCTGATTCCACAAATGTGGAGCTTGATAAGAAAAAAATCTACTCCACTACAATTCAGAGACAAATACTGTATTTGTCACTCTATTGCATTTATAACACTCCATACAGTTTTAGATGCTTTGCAAATTAAGTTTTATAATACAAAATATATTCAACCAATTAATTATGAACTATTAGTTTAAGGTCAAACTTTTTACTGATACAAATACACAACCCAGTAAATAGTTAGAACTAAACAGTTAAAGTGATGAACACAATAATGCATCAGTTGTTCTAATACAATTATATATATGTGAGTGAAACTTCTGTGCAGCAATGCAGAGCCAAGGCTCAGGAAAGGATGGAAGCTGGAGCGGCTTTAGTCAAACACTGTTATTTATTGAGAGTAGAATACGGCCGGAGAGATAACAAAGTATATCACACTTTCATGTGAGCCACCTAGCAACACTCTAAAGACAAAGGGTAGAAACACAGATAGATATATCCTTAAAGGAGTGCCCTAAAAAGCCCGCCTTTCCTACCTTAATCATTACCAGACATTGGAACAAAGACCCGTTGTGCCAAACTTCTCACCCAGAGGAAGGCAGAGGACCTCTTGACCTGTGTCCTTCTCACATTACAGGCAGGAGCATATGCGACTTAACGAAAAGCATATGTTTGTAAATGAACAGTTTCTCAGAATAGCTGAGAAACTCAAGACACAAAGAGATCGGATTAAAATATTCTCTAACAATATATATTACTATTATTCTGAAATGGACCATTTTGCATTACTTTTACTTTTGTATATCACTTTAAGTGTGGTTTCAGGTCAAAGGTCTCCTATCATGCAAAATGTACCCAAATCTCTAAAAACGGGGCTACAACAGAGCTGATCCAGATTTGCTGCCGATATGACGTAATATCGGAAATGTGGGCTGGCTTTACACCCAAGGTCCTATCAGAAACTTTGCTATCAGAAACAATGCGTGACATGTTTTGGACGTAATATGGTCTGTGTTTACATTAGCAAGCATCGCTAACACTCAGAGCTAACCTGTACTGGAGAGAGTAGCTATGTGTAAAAAAGCAGGAAATAAAAAAATGAACTCACCTTTTGGTAAACATGCAAGAGAAAAGCATTTGAGCTCCATACTGTTTCAGAAATAATCCTTGATGTGGTTTAGAACTTGATATGGCATTTCATCACGGCAGCGTTTATCTCTATCTGCCAGTAGAAATCTCTCTCTCCTCTCTGGAGCTCACATTGTGCCTGCGTGTTCCAAAGGGGGCGGGGCCGGCAGCTACTGACCCAGAATCATCCTTTACAATATATAATCCTGAACTGTCAAACTACTGGAGCTTCTAAGACTCATTATCAATAATGTAATTTTGTATTTTAAATTATTCACACACTAACTATATGGGTTTCAACATGATACAGGATTTATGGTAAAACAACAACAGAAAAATCCAAAATATTTTATTTTTACTGTTAATAATTATTTTATAAAAACAAACTATTAGCTCTTATTATTAAAAAAAGTCATTATGTTTTTTTACGTTTATACAGAGCACACTTCTTCTACTTCATATAATGTTAGACATAAAACACCAAACAAGTAAATATATGTATCCTTATCTTTATTGTATGAAAACGGAACAAAGTACAAAATCATGTAGAAAGTTTACAATAGAAAAAGGTTAAAAACAGCAAAAACACACTGCATGTGAGTTCTAACAGAACCAAGAACATGAACACGGGCATCTAACAGCTGACTGCAGCTGGGTCTCTGCAGGTTCCATCAGCACTTTAAACATCAAGGCTTTCAGAAATGATCAAAACAAGGTTCTTCTGCAACAAATATACCAAACAGTGAAGCTAAGGCCAGGTGAGAGCTGCACAGTGAAACAGACAATCACTTCCTCCTTCAATCTTCTAAGGTTCTCTCATGTGAACCTGCGTTTTTCATACATTACTACACCGTAGTGGTGTTTATATATGACAGTAACACTTTGGATCTTGAATCCAAAGCATGAAAAACAAAGATCCATGTTTCAGTCTAATCCAATAAAATCCTCAACTAAACGGGCACTTTAATCCAATGTATGTTAGAGGTAAATACATGTACAATCTAGCATGTGTACACTGACAAAAGTGAAACGTTGACCTTAATTAAATGTATAATGTCAGATTTATCATAACTGTATTAGGCTAGTTGAAAGCAATAAATAATATTAAGTTCAACTAACCCTATACAGTTATGTTAAATCTGTTGTCTAGCACCATGAGCACACAGTTTTTGAATTACATTTACATCAGAAATATTTCATACACTGTAATTACACCGTAGTTTTGTACATGTCATGAATATAAACCTTTAAATCTGGAATCTTGTAAAGTATTGCTAACAGTTTGATTCGGTTTTTTTCAGCGCTTTTGATAGTAGGCCTATAGAGGAAGATTTCTGGTGCTTTCCATTTCCTCTGATATACACATGGAAAGTGTGGAGAAACATGTGCCATCCAGTAATAAACCCTTTGTGCTTTACCGACAAAAGTATTGCTAATAATAATAATAATAATAGGACCAGTGCTTAAAAACAGAATACCGTTTTATTTGAACGAGCCGTTTACTTTTTGTGGCAAGTACCAATTCACATTCGAAATGATTCATTTCTTCTGCTTTTTCAAAATGATGGATCTACTTTGGGTGTGTTTTAACAGCTTTAGCTCTCAATCTGTGCTTTAACAGTTACAACTCAAATACAGCTTAAATCATAGTTTTGATCAGGAATGTAAGAAAATAAATAATGAATGCATCGCATAAAAAAAATGAGACAAAAGAAAACACGCTACAGATACAGGCTACATCCAAAAATAAATGATGCTCTTCATATGAGCAATAAACATCTTCTCCCAAAGTACATGGAAAGTAATCGCGTAACTGAAGGGGTCATTTTACAAAACATCATCAAATACTTTTTAACAATCAAAAGGTCCAAATCATATGTTTTTCTTTAAATCTTGGAATACCATTTCAAATCCACTGGATTTAATTTCGCTCTGCTGATGCCAACGGCCGCTCAGAAATACAAACATAACTGTGAACTCTCTTGCTTTCATAAGCACTTTCAAAGTCCATCAAAAACAGATCCTTCCAAAGAATATTTACAGATTGCATCTTTAAACACTTTGCTCCAATACCGGCAGGATGAACAGAGGAACGTGTGTCTGTCCTTAAATGACCTCAAACCATGCTGAGGCCTTAGCATTTCAATGTGTGATGCAAATGACACTTGCTAACTTAAACTGCTGTGTGTGTGTGTGTGTGTGTGTGTGTGTGTGTGTGTGTGTGTGTGTGTGTGTGTGTGTGTGTGTGTGTGTGTGTGTGTCCTGGTTTTCAGAGACTGATTGCAGAAGGCTGAGCAGAAGGCACGTGGTGTATTGAGAGGAAGAGGTCTCTGATTGGGAGAGAGCTTCACTCTGTGGAATAACATCCAACATGTGTCCCTGCGATGCAAACTCAGCGTCCAGTTTCACAGTTTATAATAATACAAAATAAAGACAGTAACACTCACGTCAGACACAGGTCAGTTCTGTATCTTTGTACGTAAACAAAAGGGAACACATTGGAGGGATTTCATCCATTTTGGAAATAAGAACACATCCTCCAGTAAATGGTCACTGATATTAAAGCTAAATGAAAACACTCCAGTGAGCCATGAAGAACTTCACTTCCAAAACAGCTGACCTATAAACTCATCTGGGAGACACACACACACACACACACACACACACACACACACACACACACACACACACACACACACACACACACACACACACACACACACACACACACACACACACACACACACACACACACACACACACACACACACACACACACACACACACACACACACACACACACACACACACACACACACACACACACACACACACACACACACACACACACACACACACACACACACACACACACACCACACACACACACACACACACACACACACACACACACACACACACACACACACACACACACACACACACACACACACACACACACACACACACACACACACACACACACACACACACACACACACACACACACACGGAAGAGACAGCCAGTGGATTCGACAAAATATACAGGAATGAAAACGGCAGGCGGTCCGTCAGCTGCAGTCTGTTCCAGCAGACTGACAGACAGACAGCTCCACAGCACCCTGACTCAGAGCTCAGCCACAGGGGGCGCTCTCACATCCCTCCCTTTCTTCCCAAAAAAAAGGTCTTGATTTCGGGTCACATAAATCCTCTGGGATTAAAACAGTGCAGCAACCAGTCGGACTTGTTCCATTCCCTAGCCACACTCCTGGATGCATAAAGTCGCCATGGTAACCACTCTCCTATGTGATCCTGTACAGAGTGCTGAGAGTCTGGGTGAGGAAGTTGAAGAATCCTCGGCAGACGTCTCTCCAGTCCTGCCAGAGCGGGACGGCACCCTGCGACAGAGAAACATACAAAGAGACATCAGTCCAGAATATTCAGTCAAGATGGCACCAAAGAGTTCAAAGGCACAAAATGAACTTAATGATAAGTTGATAACATACAAGGTATAGAATCAATGTGTAGTCCAAAATAGGACATAACTTCTCTCTCAATGTCAGTAAGCCATACAAATTTAAAAAGTGTCCTGAGCCGTTGTGTTCATCAGTAAAGTGGAACTTATATGTGAACTATTCACATCTTAAACTGCACTGTAACTTTTTATTCATGTATTTTTTCTTTTAATGTTTCTTTTATTATCTTTTTTTTTTTTAATGCCTTTGTCTGAATGTCTTTCATTTTTGGAAAGCACCTTGAATTGCCTTGTGTTGAAAGGTGCTATATAAATAAACTTGCAACAAACAATGTGAGGTTCGTTTTTTGCTGATATTTGGAAATGTCTTTCGTTGAGAACATTTGAGAACATTTGAGAAAGATTAATGACGGTTTAAAGCAGTCAATAAAATATATATTTTATCCAAATTGTGAGTCACTGCAACCAGGACAAGTCCTTGAGCATACTGTCAAAAATGGCCACAAAAATATATAAGACTGTTGCATGAGAGATTAACGGCGGACAGAGAGAGATCAACACACACTTCACCAAACTTCCCCCTGGCCCAGATAATAAAACTGTTGGATCATTCAATATCTGACATTTTTAAGGCGGGCCAAGATGCTAAAAAATGCACATTTAATGACCCGCCCTACAAACTGCACTTGACTTTATCACATGACTGTAACTTCATGCAAGTCAATGGGGGTCCCTTTGTTCTGTTGGCACAGACACAGATTAAGGGTTTGGCTCTTGAGGTGCTTCAGGGATCATTTACAGCTGCTTCAGCATTTTGAACGCAAGTGAGCCAAATAATTGAAGTTGGACCATAATGACTACCTGGGTGGAAAGGAGCAAATCCTAGAAGCTGATTTTTGTATTTCTTGTGAAGACGGAGGACACATATCCAGATGTGTGTGAACAGGAGAAGGGTGTAGAACAGAGAAAGAGACTCCATGCTGCACTAATGGAATAATGAAACACTTCGCCACTTGAACGAGAGGATAAACAAGTGTGTGAGTTAAAGATGCTACTCTGAACGGTCTGCACCTCACGTGCCTGTGGTTAACCCTCCCTCCCTCCCTCTCTCCTTCACAATCTCCCTCCTTGCCTCCTACTTTTGTTGCTAACTGCTATACAGAAGAAGTCTCTGACGGTGCTTTTGGCTCGACTCGGCGGTAAACAAAACCATTTCTGTCTGTCTTCCTGCAGAGAGCCAACAGACAGCTCCATGAGGGGACCAACGGCATCACACACTGCAACAGGAGCTGCTGCACCCTTATAGTAGGGCTGTGCAATTAATCGTATTTTAATCGCGATTACCATTATGGCTTGCGACGATTATGAAAACAGCATAATTGACAAAATACGATTATTTTGCTGGGTGCGCTTTCGCCCCTCCCTAAAAGCCCACTCGGCCACGTGGGAGTGACATGTGTTGTGAGTGTTCAGCGAGAGCGAAGATGTCAGAACAAGAGCAGCAACTCGTTAAAAAGAAGGGTAAAACTATTTCCACTCTTTGGAAGTACTTTGTCATTACATTTCACATCGCTAAAGATATGTGCCCAGTTAGCACTGTTAGCAACCAGGGCTTTAAGCAACTTGTCAACACGTTGGACAAGCGTTACGCGATGCCGTCTCGGTATTATTTCAGCAGGTCTGCGCTGCCTGCGCTATGTGACAAATGCCGTGGGGAAGTTGAGAGAGATGTGGCTTCAGCTGACTACTTTGCTAACACAACAGACCTATGGTCTAGCCCAGGGGTGCCCAACCAGTCGATCGCGAGATGTGTCTAAAAATAGAACAACAATATTCTGTTTTATCGTTAATGTCCTGTAACATAATCTTCCTGTGCCAGAATAATGCACATGAACGCATCAAAGCTTTGTGATTGGCCGGTGTCACCCCATGTGTCGGGGCGTGGCTGAGGGTCTTCAGTACAGGTGGCAATATTGTCACCTGCCTGCGCTCATCTCTGAAACCAGACCATGTAAACAGGCTGGTGTTTCTTGCAAAACATCTTTAAGAGATGACATGAGCAGCCTTACCAGCATTTGCCATGGTGGCCTAAACATTTTATTTGGTCTTAAATTGTAGTTCAACATTTATTTCCTGTTACTTCTGGACCATGACGGTTGGCCAGCCTTCAACGTTTAACTGAGTGGAATATGTTGAATATGTTTTACCAACATGTTGGCTATATGTTAAGTAGTTTTCAGTAGGTTGTGACAGTGCACTGCATCATATTTGATTTAATTTATTTTGGTCTAATTTATTTTTATTTATCATATTAATAATCTATGTTTAGTATGGTTTTGGAAGTGTGCTCCAACATATTTGTTGATCTTGTTTATTGGTAAAATATTATTTGTTTTAAAGTTCAATAAATGGTCAATGAATAATCGTCAAAATAATCGTGATATCAATTAATGACCCAAATAATCGTGATTATGATTTTTGCCATAATCGCACAGCCCTACCTTATAGTGTGTGTGTGTGTGTGTGTGTGTGTGTGTGTGTGTGTGTGTGTGTGTGTGTGTGTGTGTGTGTGTGTGTGTGTGTGTGTGTGTGTGTGCGCGATCCGTGTCCGAGTGTGAGTCAAGACTAGGTGACGTCATCTTTGTTTATGTGCATGAGGCGGGACGGCGAGGGAGAGAGAGAGCAGTGGGGACTGGGGAAGTGTGTGTGTTTGTGTGAGTGTGTGTGGGGGGGGAGGAGGTGGAGAGTTGCTGCCAACTCCTCACGCGATCTAGACTACAGGGGAGGGAGGGAGGGGGGAGGGAATTAAAGACATAACAATACAAGGAAACAGACAGACAGCAGTGTAAAACATACTGTGATTTCATCTGGGAGTATCGTTTGGATGTGAAATGTGTTTGTGTTGTTTTCAGGTGTGTAGGGCATACTTCAATTCATATAGAGTTAGAAAGATTAGAGCAACAATGATGAGGAAGGAAACTGTACAAAAACATAAGTGAGGGAACATGAATCTGAAAGAGGACTGTGTGCAATGAAGTTTCTAAAAAGTACACATTTATATAACTACATAGAAAAAGAGGAAATAGGAGAGAGAGGTGGAAAGATTTAGGACGGACATTTGTAAAAAGGTCCACAGTAAAAAGTGAAAAGAGATTAAACTGGCTCACACGCGAGTAGTGATCTGTCAAAGACACACACACACACACACACACACACACACACACACACACACACACACACAACACACACACACACACACACACACACACACACACACACACACACACACACACACACACACACACACACACACACACACACACACACACACACACACACACACACACACACACACACACACACACACACACACACACACACACACACACACACACACACACACACACACACACACACACACACACACACACACACACACACACACACACACACACACACACACACACACACACACACACACACACACACACACACACACATCAGACTGCTACACTCAGATGGAGGGAAAGCAATAAGCAGTATTTCACTCCACTGTTCATTGTTTCATTTTTGCAAACTGTCATTCCTGCATTTCCTTGTGCCACATGTATTTTTCTGATTATGTCTAAGGTATATTGTATGTTACACGGTTGGAGAAGTAATGGGACAGTTTTTCATTGACAATAATCACACTCTAGCTATTGTGCATATGACGATAAAACCTTTGTAGAATCCCTTCACAAGAATGACACTGAATGCTCAGGTGTTTCTAACATTGTGATAATGAAGCTGGACTGGACTAATTTTCTAACAGGGTCTTTTGAAACATGTTATTTAGGTCACTGTAAATGTCCACATTACTTTGTTTACTATAAACAAAACCTATAACATATTATAGCTAAACACACTGTATATAACACTGAAGCCCCGCCCCTCCTCTTACCGCTCTGTGGAGGACTGTGGCATTGATCTCATCTCCGATGGCCCTCAGCTGGTGAGCCACCCTCCTGATGACCTGCACCTGCACTGCCTCTCCTCCGGGGGCTCTGTGACGAGGGGAAGCCCAGGAGAGCTGCTCGTTCTGTGGCAGCAGGTCTGGAAGAGGCCCCTGCCTGCTGGAGGCCTCCTGGGGATCCTCTCTGAGCGAGTCTGCAGCAGAAAAATGCTAAATTAATTCACAAAATAACATGCAATTCTCCATAATTGTTTAATCATTTAAAATCGTTTTTCCATATGCTCTTACTCTTCGTCTCTCTTTTGAGAAAAACAGTTAAAGTTTGAAAAGACACAAGTGCTTTATTGCCACAGCCTCTGGTTATGCCTAACAAGTAGCGCACATTAACCGCCTCCTTAGCAATAATAGAGACACTTCAAGTGTGTGGGGGGGGCAGACCATGCGGCAGACCAACAGAGACCTAACATACAAGAACACACACAACTTCATACACACACCTCCCAGAACACTTCACTTCCAGGCCATTACCGATCAGTATGAATGTTTAATTACAATGAGTATGAAGAGATAAGTAAGGTTGAAACAATATGTTCACCATTTGCATACAGTAAAATAAGTTCCTCTCAAAGTGTATCATACTTGATAGAGAATAGAAGAGGGAGTTTTTAAACAACATTCAACATTTATTCCAGTTGGGTTGTTCAGTTACATTAGTTAGACTTGTGGCAACACATATTTGCTAAGGAGCCTGATGGGTCTGTTTCCTCTTCATGGAACTTTGGAGAGTAATCTCTTAATCTGCTTAATAAGTCTGGTATGGAGAGAACTGTGTGTGTGTGTGTGTGTTTGTTTGTTGTGTTTACAGATCTAGTGTTGTTGTTGCCTTCTGTCTGGTTGCTTTAGCGTGACAAAAAGGCCTAAAACTATTAGAGGTTTTAGGATTTTATGAAAAAAAAGGAAATTGTCTCAAATCTTTAACGGTAACCTACTTGATCATTTTTTTATTTATCATGCTTATTGTTCTGCTTTATTCAGATACATCTTGTTTTGTGTAAGCATTATATACAATGAATTCATTATTTCTCTTTTTCTGTATCTTATCATTTCTTTTCAGATATTTCACATAACACATTTATAAAATTAGTTGCTAAATTGAATTAGTTATTTTTTTATGTTCTTGTTATGTTTCTTGCTTATTTGAATATCCATCCAACATATGAAAAGGATTTATCATACTACATGAAAGATCCTTGTCTCTGGCAGCGTGTCGTTTTTAATAGACGATTAGATAACCTTTGTACACTTGTTTCTGACTTTGACAACAGCTTTCCTGTGAATGGACCCCTGTCTCTGTCACGGAGCAGAGGGTCTCTAGCAACCACAACTCTTTGTTGCCACAGAAACAGGCACCCCTGGCAACCACAGCATCTACTTTGCTAGGAGGATTACAACTGATCCTTTAAAGATGCAGGTGACTAGACAGAGGGAGAGATGGAGGCGGAGAGGGAGGAAAGAGAGAGCGGAGGAAAAATAACAAACAGGAAACACTGGCTTGTTGCCAAGGTAACTTGAAGACAGCACTCTTGGAGACGTCTCTATTCGATTGGCCGGCAGTGGGGGTCTGAGCTGGATAGGCTGGAGGGATGTAAGGGGGCGGGGCTGTTGGTGAACCGGTCTGTTTGATAGGCTGACAGAGTGACAAGGTGACAGAGATCCTGAGAGCAGATAAATATGGGATGCAGGAGACTGGGGGGGACTCGGTTGCCGGGTGAAGGGGTGGCATTACAAATAAAAACAGACTAAAGCCGATAAAAGCTTACGGCTGAGAGATGTTGTCATTAAATAACAAACCGACAAATCCTCTGACTAACCAAAGAAATAATAAATAAATTAACAAACAATTCCTTTTTTTATTCAGCTAAATAATTTAGCTGATGCTTAGATCCAAAGTCTCTTACGGCCCCTACACACGGCGGCGTGCGTTGTCGCTTGCCGGCGGGGGGGGCTGAAACTCGACCAACAACCAATCACATGAATCTCCCACCCCAGACACACAAGCACGCGGTTTGATTGGCTAGAGCTTGTATTGGCATATGATTTGATTGGCTGGCGCGTCCGTCGAGGCGTCAAAAGTAGAACATTGCTCTACTTTTGCAGCGAGCACCGCAAGAGAAGCTCCGCATTGCTCCCACAATGCAGTTCGGCGAATCGTGACATCACCCCATTCAAAGTGAATGGGCAGAAGCGACAACGCACGCCGCCGTGTGTAGGCCGTTACCATAAGTGCCTTCAACTACGATGATATAGAACAGCAAGAATCCTGCAAGGACATTAGTTTCCAAACCTTTTAAGCGCTATAACCATTTTTAAATAAATATTTTAAATTGTATTTTATTAAGTACAATTTTGAGCTACTTGAGTTGTTCCATTTTTTGCTACTTTGTTCTTCTCCTCCTCTACAGTTCAGAGGTACATGGTGTACTTTTACTCACTACATGTATTTAATACCTTTAGTTACTTCACAGATGTGGATGAATGATGTGAAATCTAATCAAGTGTTGAATCAGACTCTAGTTCCACCTGGAGTAAATCCACCAGCTACCCTGCAGTATACAAAGCCATTCAAACTAGCTGCACCTTCACCAGCTTTGAGAACACTTTCATGATCAATCATTATAAAACATATCATATATATTATTCTGAAATGGACCAATCTGCACAACGACTACTTTTACTGTCTTTCACTATATTTTGATGAGAATACTTTTCTACTTTTACTTGAGGAACATTTTGAATGCAGGACTTTTACTGTAACAGAGTATTCCTACACTCTGGTACTTCTACTTTTACTCAAGTACAAGATCTGAGTACTTCTACTTTTACTCAAGTACAAGATCTGAGTACCTTTCCCACCTCTGTGCACACAATACAACAAATTCACTTACAAATCGACAAAAAACTTTCATAATGACTGTTTACCAACCTGACAGATGATCTGGATAAAGTGACATTTTAATTATTGAGTGCCTCATTAGTGAATAACTGAAAGTGTCTGACTAATTAATTCACTAGGTTGCTGAGTATCTAACTGATAAACCTATTTACTGACTGGATAACAAAGTGTCTCCCTCATTAGATGACTAACTTTGATTCGTAGCCTGACTGATAAGCCTGATTAACTAACTGTAACTCTGACAATTTAAACTAAGCTTAACACCTGACTGAGAGGCCAATAGAAGCTCTTGTGGGCAGACTACAGACTGACTGTGTGCTGCCAGGCTGATCTCAGAGCAGCAGGAAATGCAGCACATTGGTTCCTTCAGACTGCACAGGACATGTCTGAACATGCCCGGCATGCACAGCTGACCTGCAGCTGAGAGAGGAAGGGGGTGGGGCAATGTATCTGTTTACCCCTCTATCTGTCACAACACAGAGACACAGTGTCTAATGTTAACCTGTGTTTCCTGTATCCTGTGAATGCCAACACCTGAATTTCCTTTTCTACAGCCTCCACATTTCCCTCCAGGATACTTATCTAAGTTTAGACTCTGCGTGACTCATCCTAACATAATATGGGGTGTCTCGCTCACACATAAAAACTGCTGCAGATGTAAATGAAAAAGGTACAGCCATGTGCCTGTATCTAGCCTTTATTCCCCAAATACTGGGATTGTAAAAAAGGGACATTTTTGACAATACAATAAAAATAGGTCCAAGGTCCATTCATGCAAGATATCCCAATTCCATTATAGAGATAATAGAGAAGAGGGTTTTTACAATGTCAAAAATAATGTACTATAAAAGGTCAAATGTGTTTTCTGTGTTACCGCCCACCATTGTCAGAGGAAGTTCCCCTCTTCTCACCCCTCGTGAACTCCAGACAGACAGACATTGTCTCATGAACAAACCAGTAAGAGCTCCTGAGGCAGCAGCAGCAGCAGCTCAGTGGTCTGCTGGCTACAAGGCCAAAAACGTCACATGTTTATTCCTGCGACAGTGGGTAACACACATCCTCTTCATCCCTCCACCTGCCCCCATCAACACTGCCCAAACAGTCTCCTGTCATGGAGACACAGCACAGACTGAACTGATACTCTCCTGCCAGCTGACAACGTCTGTGTATATTAAGGGAGGAGGTCAGGAAGGCAAGCTATGCTGAGTCGTGACTCTTGGTCAGAACCTGCATCCACTCTGATCTAATGCTTATCCTGCAGCAGTGATTGGCTGTGAATCAATGTTTTAAAGTAGTCACATTCCACCATAGGGCATCAGTAAGTAGTTAAACAGGTCACACACAGACTACACCATCATGGTTAAACAAACATATTATTATATGTTTCTTTTGTCTGTGACATCAATTAAGCCAATGCAACATTATTATTTCACAGCTAGTGCTCAATATGTAAAATAAGCGTTGGTGAAAATATGTTTTTTTTAAGCAGATGTTGAAAATGACATATTTCTAAGTATCTGCCATTAATAACATAAATGTATGCATGTGTATGTATTGTCACATTTCTCATTGTTGTTATGGGTGCTTTGCTTCTTCTTCCTGAATGTAGTCCAACAATAAAAAATACAGATCTGTTTCCACCTTCAGTCGAGGCCAAACATATCTGTGTGTTTGTGAGTTTCTCTCCGAGGTAACTGTTCTAAATCATAAGTGATGTGCCTGGTGTTACAAACACAGGGAGAGCTAACCCACATGGTTTTAACAACACCATGCTGCAACCCACATCCTATTACTTAAGAGATATAACACTTTGTATCTCCCAAATAACCTAAACCACGCTGGATATCTTTGATTAAATGTGAATAGGACTATCTTACCTGACTGCTCTCCTGAGAAGACACTGGCCCTCTCTTCCCTCCGATGGCAGAGAGGTGAGGGAGGCGTTGATGATGACGATGACCAAGGTAACTGCTGGTGAGTCTGGGGCTCGTCCTGGCCCTCTGGGCGGGGGCAAGGCACCGGGTATGACATATAGAGGGCCTGCAAAGGGTGCAGGTGGTGGTGGTTCTGGTGGAGGTGTAAGGCCCCGGGGCCAGTCACAGAGCCGGTGGTGATGGTGATGGTGGTGGTGAGCATGCCGGGCCAGTTGTAGAAGGGGCGGGGCAGCTCCATCCGGCAGGAGCTGTGGCGAGGCAGGGGGCCGTCTCCTGGTTCTCCTCCTGTCTCCCCGGCGCTCTCCATGGTCTCTGCACGGGCCATCTCAGTAGCCTAAATCACACAGACATGCGTCAAACAAAGCAAGACAACATGTACTGAAGCATCAAATCAAAATGTATAAACATAGTCATCTAAAAAACAACAAATTGAATTCAAACAAACACAAAAAACAGTGGCCCTGAGAAATCAATGTACAAAGAATTAAGAAAACATGTGCAAGTCTTGTTCGTGACCCCTCCGGATATATACTATCTGATAAGATATACTTTATTGATCCAAATTAAAGTATATATTATACTATCAATAAAAAAAAACATTTAATTTGATTTAATATATAATAGGATAACATATCTCATACAAAAACACCAGAAAAGCACACATACACACATCTAGTCTTTCTCCACCAGTTTGACCCAGCAACCTACATTATAAATGATCGTACCGGCCGCTAGGGCACGAGACTTGTTTGTAAACAGATCTGATCCGCGCCGATCGAGCACGAGGAAGCGAGCACGCGTACACATCATAGGTACACACAATCTCACAGAAAGGCGAGCCACGCGGAGATTTCTCTCCGCTTTGACAATAAACTGATGATAGGAAGGATAATATCGAGAAAAGACTGAGCATAAATCCTCCACGTGAAGTGAAATTAATAAATGTGCCACTTAAAATCCCGTTTATTTAGGGTTATTTAAAAAACGCAAGGAAAATAAATCGGAAAATGCGTAAAGATGTCGAATTACAGAACCACGACCCTGCTTTAAGTTTTAATACATTCAATCATAAATGCATTATTCGTTTGATAAATTAACCAGTTTCTGACAGTTTTCTGGTTCTGGGGCTAAACACATTTATTTAAATAGCCTATCAATATCGTGAACCTTTAACTCTGATTTAGGATTTTTTTTTCCATTAACGTTTCTGAATGGGACTTGTCCGGACATGTCTCAAATCAGAACTATAACGCGAAAGGCTCGAAGGCGCAGGGGTCAATACTTTACATCTGTTGTAAAAAAGAGAGTAAATGTTGATAAAATAATTTCAAAGTAGATATGCACCGATACGTTCAACCACACTTTCTTCTGACAGCTCGACAGATGATGCAACTTGTCTTTAAGTTACATTACATGTCACTTGTTAGACGCTTTTATCCAAAGCGACTTACATACATTCAGTACTGTGGACAATCCCCCCAGGAGCAATTTGGGGTGAAGTGTCTTGCCCAAGTTGTCAAAAACCTTTCCAACTTCTGCAGCAGTAAATAAAGATGAAGCGCTTACTGGCTGTTTATGACGCTCCGTGGTGATGCGGTGTGCAGGGCAGAGAGCAGCCGTAATAGGTGCACATCAGACGGGATACACTCTTCCAGAACAACCGGCGGGCGAAGTGTCACAAGATGTTAAAGGTCCACTCGGGAGGAATCGTGTCATTCCATGTCAAAGATCTGCCGTTGATTGTCACGGTTTATAATCAGCTGGTTGTTGTCTGTTAGATTAACCCATCAGAATATACCGATGAGATGTATAAAGAAGGAGGCTGGTCTCGGTGCTCTTCTCTGAAGATCTGTCGGGTCTGAGCGCTCTCCTGCTGCCTCACTATCTTTGTCAATACAGAAGATACAGCAGACTTCCGGTTTGGACTTTCAGAATAAAACACACCACAACATTTATTGACCTCATAAATAGGTTGCGTTCCAATAGTTCATTTAGCTTAGGAACCTTCCTAACGGAGTGAAATGACCCGGAAGTACGTCACTGGCAGCCATGATAAGTGCCGTTCCAATTCTCCAAATGAAAGGAAAGGAGATTTCAAACTTCCTTTATAACCTCCTTTAGTTTAGGAACCACTGGACCTCCCTAACTGAAAGGAGAGGAGAAAATGCTGCCCCACAATGCATTGCAGCCGCAGCATTTGCCATCACACAACAGTCGGCCGTTCACGGAAACAAACGATATGACGGAGAAATGATATCATGAATGTTACGGTGCTTATTAAGCATTTTAAAACGTATGTGGTAAGTTGCCAAAGTGCTTTTTTCTGAACGTTCATCAGTATTATAATCAAAAAGAGAAATATGAACGTTAGTTTTTACTGAAATGATCAAATAAAGTCAACATTTCACAGTCTTTACTGAGCTGTGTGGGGTTTGTTCAACTTTTAAAAGATGTTTGAATGGTGATATACACAGTGATAGATGTTAAGGACTAACGATACGATACGATACGATATTACTTTATTGTCAGATCAAGTTTGAAATTTGACTTGCGTCACAGCAGCTCCATGTCCAACATCAACAGACAAATATGCATACACAAATACATGAAACACAAACATTTAACATAACAGCACAATCAGTGAGAGAAAAACATGCTCAAAGAGCCTTCAGCGTGCATTTGGTCTGGGATTTAGCTCTGTATTTACTGTGAGGACTGACTGATGCACAAAGGAGTGCTTCAGTCTGACTTTATTGAATCGTCAGACTGAAGCACTCCTTTGTGCATCAGTCAGACAAAGGAGTGCTTCAGTCTGACGATTCAATAAAGTCAGACTTTATAATAAATACATCTGTATTGATTTTAAGATCTTTTCATACAATCATACGTATTGGGATCATTTGTATTAATGTGGACCGGTGTTCCGGATTGACTGGTTCCCCGATCAACTGGTTGACAGATGTGGAGGCGTGGCCTCGACTGAAATACACATTTCGATCGCTTCTTCTGTCGTTTACATACATCTTTTGGTATATTTGGCTGGATAGGAACACTTTGATGCACATTCAGTACCAGTGTGTGAGGTTGTGCTTACGATGGCAATATCCGAACGCGAACAGCGAGGACTACAAAAAGAAAAACGAGTTGATCGGGGATGTCTGTTCAAAACATTGCGAGCTCCAATAAATCAATTAAACCAGCTATTGTTGCTAGACTTATTTCTGAATATCGTTCTTAATGTGATACCAAGTCCATCTGAGACCTGTGTACACCTTCAGACAGCCTCCAAGTGAAGCACATGTTCTTTACTCACAGTTTGAAAGCAGCGTGGAGAAGTCTTCAGCTGTGTTAAGCTGTGATCCGCTCGAATAAATCCTTAAAACCAGTGCTGGAATTGGGCCGGTACTCACCGGTACGCAGTACCGGCACTTCTGGTTCTGACCCATGGAGTACCGGCACTTCTTGCTCAGTACCGGCATGCTGGCGGTACTCCGGTACTCATGCACCGTGCCAGTACTCAACACTCTCCCGCCGTTCTTATTATACATCCATATATATATATACAGCCGCCCCGTACTCAGTAGATGCGTCATGAGGTGCCGAACGGACATTCTCATCGCTCTAACAGCTGTTTACTCCTGTCATTCAAACAGAACGTGCTGGAGAGGGGGCGGGGCTTATCTTCTCCATGTAAATACTGTGGTGGAAACGACTATGTCAAAATTAACCTATTTGACCGTGATTTAATAGTAATACACGTTTCAAAATAATAATAATAATAATAATAATAATAATGCCGAAGTAACAACATACTGAAAACTGTTAGTAAAACCATGTTTTAATGCTTTACAATTTACATACCTAGATGCACGTGTGTTGTGTTTATGCAGTGCAACTCCCACCCAGTGGGTGGCAATGTAGAGTGATAGAACAGAGCAGGCACGCCCCCGAGAGAAGGAAAGCAAGTCACGTCACAAATTAGCATTTCTAAAATGTTAGCGTGGATTAATAAAAGTGCAAAAAGACAGCGGTTGTCGCCGGAAGAAACTTCAAATACAGAGAATGCTGTGCCTGTGTTGGAAATTGTGTCTGATGGGGAGCTTTCTTTGGTTGATCCTCCTGCTCCAAGTTCTAGTGCATTAGCATTAGCACTAGCTCCGCCGCCTCCTCCAGAGCCTCTAACGTTAGCTGCTGCTGGCGCACCTGCCACCACCAACACCGGGCAAAGCGATGCACCTGACTGCTGGACAACGGACCAGGTGCAATATTTTTGCAAGACCAATGCATAGCTCCTTCTTAAAGATAAGAAGCTAGGATGTCGGATATGCAGAGATGTCAAATCTTTGGGAATACACACTGGACAAGGACTGAAACTGTCAACTGAATGGGGTGAGTGTGCAGTGTCTCATTTCGGTGTTGACAAGGGCAAACAACAAGCTAGCCTGAGAAAAAAAATCAAAGAACATAAAGAATCACAAGCCCATGTAAAAGCTGCTGACATCCTTACATCTGCTTCACGTGAAACTATTCAACATCAAGTGCATTCTATGCATACATCTGAATTAGACACCACTATCAGAGTTTTTCGAACGGCATATAAAATTGGCAAACATAGCCGGCCATTCACAAACATGCCAATTGATTTGAATGTACAGAAACTGAATGGGCTGAACGTGGGCAGGGTTTTGCACTCCAATAAAACCTGTGGCGAAATCATCGACCACATAGCTCATGAGCTGAAGAAAAAAATGGCAAAAGACATTACAGAAAACCAAAGAAAACTCTGTGTTTTGGTCGATGAATCTACCACTATTAGTGGTAAAACGGTGCTTGTTGTGTGTCTACGCTCAGCATTAGCTGATGCTGAGCCCGAAACGTTTTTTTGGGAGCTGATCGAGTTGGATGGAACAACGGCTGATGACATCACAAAGGCGTTAATGGAGTGTCTTGGAAGAGATTTTAACGAGGACTTTTTAGGTCAGTGTTTCGTTTCTTTTGCATGTGATGGGGCTTCAGTCATGCTAGGGAAGAGAACAGGCGTTGCTACCCAGTTGTGTAGTAAATTCCCAAGCCTGTTTGTGTGGCACTGCTCCAATCATCGTCTAGAGCTGGCAGTTGGGGATGTGGTCAAGGAGGTCTCAGGGCTCAATCATTTCCAGATCTTTTTTGACAAACTCTATTCCTTGTTCCATGCCTCCCCCAAAAATCAGAGGCAGTTAGCGCAGTGTGCGCAAGCAGTCGGACGGCGTCTCCTGGTGATAGGGTGTGTTTTGTCCATCCGCTGGGTGGCTTCAAGTGAAAGGAGCGTCAGAGCAGTCTGGGAAAACTACCGAGTGCTTCATGATCACTTCACAAATGCTGCAAACGACACGAGCAGGGATTCCAGAGACAGAGCAAAGTACAAGGGCCTGGATGATGTGCTCACATCTGCAACGTTTGTCAGCAATCTGGGACTGATGTACGATGCGCTCACAGAGCTCAGCGACCTCTCTCGGCAACTCCAAAAAAGAGAGATGACACTGCCTACAGCAGATAGGCTCTTAACTCGAGAAATACGAGTTTTTGAATCCATGGTCACCATGCCTGGCCCACACATGACTACAGTTCATACAGCTCCAGCTGAGAAGTCCTTCAAGGGTGTTGCCCTGCGTGAGAATGGCAGGCTTGTACAGATTCATGCAGGTCAGTTTTTCCGCAGTATGGTAGAGAATCTGAGACACAGAATGACTTCCACAACCTCCTCTCATGTCAGCACAAGAGAAATCCCATTACATGGCCGGGAGGCCCGGGACAATCAGCTAATCCAGGACATGAAAGTTATCCATCCTGGAAGTTGGCCTGAAGAGGAGTTAGACGTACAGTATGGGGACGTAGAGGTGCTACGTTTGTGCGAAGTGCTGAAAGTGGACAGAAGAGAGACTGTTCAGGGCTTTCGCAAATACAAGGAAACCAGGGCATCCCGTACACCTGCTGCCATGGAGCCTCTACTGAAAGCAGTCCGAACCATCGCTGTCTCCACTAGTGAGTGTGAGCGGGCATTCAGCTGCATGAACGATATCCTTACTGCAAAAAGGAATGCTCTCTCTGTCAGCCGACTGTCCAGCCTGGTTTTCATTAAATGTAATGGACCATCACTAGGACAGTTCAATCCGGAACAGTATGTGAGGTCCTGGCTGGCAAAGGGAAGGAGAAGTGCTGATGAAAGAGCCTGTCCAGCTCCAGCCCCTGATACTGATGTCCCCAAGGCCTTCTGGAGCCTTTTCTAACAATGTGAAGTATATTGCAAAGCAGCTCACCCAGTGAGAAGACTTTTGGCATAATGTGCCGATTTGTACAGATCCTGGAGATAGAAGGACTTCAGACCAACCAGGGAGTTATCTGATCAGCTTGGTGTTCAATGTAACTCTTTACCATGGCTCAGACTTTGTTACTTGCAGTTACAGTTTCTCATTTTAGATTGTGCAAATTTTGCATTTGTTTTTACATGTTCTTTGTTCATGCTCTTTATCATTTTTCTGAGTTGGAAAGTTAGATTGCATCATAGTTTACTTTATACATATTTGTATTCTTCAGTGGTGAAGTATATTGCAAAGCAGCTCAGCCATGTGAGAAGACTTTTGGCACTTTTTCGTTTTTCGTTTTCTGAGTTGGAAAGTTAGATTGCATTCAAAATGTACAGAAATACTTAATTTTGTTAAAGCTTTTTATAAAAAATGCTTCTGACCAGAGCTTTGTTTCCTTGTCATTAATGTTGAACACCACCAGAGGGGCTCTCACCTGAAAGGTCTCTGCTTCATGTGTCTTCAGCAGAAGATCTAGACTTTGATTGCTATATTTTCAGTTAATATTGACCTTACTGAGCTTTAGCCATATCCGCTGCCTA